GGGCTCAAATGGTTCAAATATCTTCTCAGTGAGTAAATCCAAAATTCATTCATCATAAAATCAACACAGGTTGTCACCTAGTAAATTTTCTATTTTCTGAGCAATTTGTTAAGAATGTATTTGAGTCACATAAACACATGACAACATGAACAACTAATCTTTCCACGTGTACATACATACTTCTTGTGGTCGGTTCACTCTTAAGCTGGAAAAGCTGAGCTTCCACCTTGGAGAGCTGCTGCTGCAAAGTTTCCATTGTCTTTCTGTGCTCTTCCTGCAAATGTCGTGTTTGATCTCGGAAGCTGTTGCGAAGGGCCTCGTTCTGGGATGTCAATTGACTCACAGTCTGTGCATGTTCAGACTTCATCATCATGTTCTCTGATTGTACTGAACACAACCTGAAGGGTGAGAGGAATTTAATTAATTCATGTGAGATCTTTCAACTTAAGTTGCTGACTCAGCCTTTCTCAATTGGATCCTGCAAGAGAATTAGACCTAAGTCATCCACTGAACATATGAATTAATGTTTGTCCTGTGTATCTATAATAGTACTAGTTGAGTAATAACCTGGGGAGAAATGAGGCTGGCTGTCATCTAGTTCAAATCATATTCTGGGTTCAAATGATGAACCTTGGTTGAGAAACTATGTTGTATGCTTCAGATGAGGAACTTCCTTCATAGTTTATTAGAAAACTGAACTTTATTTACAGAATAAAAATATATACTTTTAATTAGTCCACTTCAGGTTATCTTATGTGGTAGTTCATATAAATATAAGATTAATAAATATTTTCTCTATTACCCTGAAAACATAAAAAAAGAACATTATCTTTTAACTCATAAAGAAAGCCTTAAAAAGAAAGTATTCCTTTTTGAGCCAATTAACATGACACTCCGAAACCATAGACTTGGTTTACTACAGTTGTTTTTGAATCTCACTGCACTTTAGAATCACTGGGGTACTCGGTAAAAAATATAGACATCTAGATCTCAACCTTGAGCCACTAAATCAGAATCTCCAAAGGTGGTCCTAGGAATTGCCTACTTTAAGCAATTTTCCATGTGATTTTATGTAGTCAGTCTGACACAAGCAAGGGACCTACCATTTGAAAACCACCATTTTAATGGCTCAGTTGTAGTGTTGATGTTTTGTTTGGCTTGGTAAAACAGAACATTTTCCTTTTACACAAGGGATCCACACGTACACTATCATAAAAATTCAAACAATACAGAAGCAATTATAGAAAACAGTGAAAGCCCTCTTTGTTCACTCCCACCCACAACAGTGTAAAATCCTACTTCCAGGGATAAACATCATTAATGGTTTAGTGTGTAGCTTTCTGAGATCTATTTTTTATGTGCTACACATATGCACGCCACATGAGGTTTCAAAACAAGATTTAGCTGCTGAAGGGAGACATGTGCAATAAAAATACCATGCTTCAGAAAAGGTATCACAACTGCCAAGTTTATATCAATTAATGCGTGTAGAGACTGCTAGAGTATATATGTTACCCTTCAAACCTGCATTTTTCCTGCAAGTATTTTGTTCAAACAATATCTACCAAGGAAGTAAAGGGAGAACCATTAACTGTCACAAGAATTTTCTAAGAAAGACAAAAGCTACATTTTAGAGCTAGGATAAGGCTTCTAGGTTTCAGGTGGTATCAGTGACACTTCTGAATTTACCTATTTGAGAGAGCTAGAAGCTTAAACCCTTACCTGGAACTGGAACAACTGTGATGATGGAAGTTCACTGTTGTGCCCCAGCTGTTACTGGGGTGTTTATACTAGCTGGGTTTATGACAATGCAGGTATTATCTGGTCACCCTATTTAGTCCTCTGGAGCCATTACAAAACTCTTATATAGGGAAAGTATAAATATTAAAATGAGTTAAACAGAGAATATATAAGAAAAAGGCTATTTCTCCATACTAGGGCATAGATAGCAATAATATCATTAGTTTTTGTTTGTTTGTTAAGATTTTACTGGGGAGCTGGAGGAGGGAACAGCATTGGGGAATTGGGAAAAGGAAACAGCCAAGTTGCTGTCCTTTTGNGACAGCAGTTACCCCCACATCAGAATTAATGGCTGTGGCTACAAACAGTCCTTACTACTCCTGATCCTGAAACTTCAGAAAGATGACAGATTCCCCCTAAATTATGAACATTAATGTTCATTATAGGTAAGAATAAAATATACCAAAACTTGACTGTATTTAATAAGGCAAATTTAGCAATACTACTTCATCAAGAGGAATAAACTCAAATTGTTTCTTGGATGGGTGAGAGAATATTTATCATACTTTTTAACGCCACTATACAACTTCCAACCATCTATTTTCTGGCTCAAGCTTAGGGCAAAACTAATTTTAATTAAAAAAAAAAATTTTGTTTTGTTTCATCCTGCAGGAAAGTTTGCCATTTGAAAGGGGGTGGAATACAGAAAGAAATTTTATTGGAATATATCAAAAAAGCAATTATAACTTAGTGTACTATTAATAAGACAAGACAATACAACTAAATTAGAAAAACATGCTTAAGCAAAGAAACATACCAAGTTTAGTTTCTGGAGAATTCAGAAGCTGCTCTAAAGACGGTGTGTAAGTGCCGGCGGAAGACACAGACTCCGTATCAGTTGTCTCCATTCCTTCTCCCTCCTCTCGGGTTACAGCATGCATGTCCAGAAGGGCAAGTTCTGTGCTTCTTCTTTCTCGAAGATTCTTCACAGGTTGGTGGGAAGAAGCCGGGCCTATTAAAAATTTTTTTAAAGGAAAAGTGAGAGAGTATTCAAAATTGATAAATTCAACATTAACAGAGATACACAATAAAAGTAAAATGATCCTAGGGATGTGAAATGATGTGGTAAGGAATTTAAATAAATAGTAGACAAGTAAATGGTGTATAAAAAATAATTTCTAAAACAGTCCCAAAAATTTAGTTATTGAACTTTTAACAACTTAAGTCATTTCAGCAGAATCTATAAATTAATTGCTATTAGCTAGATAAG